GGTGAGATGTTGCTATGTCTGGGGGAAGGAGGTTGCAGCGGAGAAGAAGTTGCAGCCGTAGCGCGAGAAGATAAGGGAGAAGGAGGACGAGCGCCGGGGTGGGCCCGTGTACCTTACATGTCGCGATATGAATCACTAAGAGGCTGCGCTCGTGGATGCGACCGGTCAGATCTTCGGTCGGGTGGCAACGTTTCCCCTTACAAAAAGTATAGGAGTACATCCAAGACGCGCATCATGAGAAGTGTGGACAGGGAGCATGTGGACCCGAGAGCCAAAACTGATTTTCGGCTATACTTTGGTTGCTCTGCACTTTACGTATGTTGTCCAAAGACAGGCACCAGTGACTGGTGCCAGCTAGTGTAGTATTATCTTCATCTTTTTGCTGAGACATGTGGTTGCTTTTCTAACCCGCGAAATGGGAGCGCACCATGCACATGGTAAGCAGGCCCGACCAAAAATAATACGCACCACCACCATTCACCACGGTAATATTTGTAGTAGAGGTGTGGGTACGAGCTTAACTCCATGCATACGCCCGACCAAAGACTATACGTTTCGAGAAATCGAAGAAACATCTTCACAATAGGTTGTGTGACGTTTATTCATAAATGTGAACGAGAGATTGCGCATTTGCGCATCATGGGAATGACTTGTACTATTGTGCACCATCTATGCTACTCCCTCCGTCCCATATTAGACGGAGGGGGTAGTTAGTATCCAGCAAAACAGGTCCTTGGTTATACTTCAACATGAAGGATACTATAATTTTATTTTCGAATGCTTTGCGCAAAGAATACAAAAAAAACGCCAGAACGAAAAGGCTTTACAGAAGGCACACCAGTAGGTGACTGAAAAGCAGAAGAAAAAAGAAAGGCAGGATTGCCAAAACAAAACTTGAAAATATAGCATGCCTAGCGGAAAGGAACTAATAAGACAAGGAAAAAAAAAAGGACAGTCTTTTCACAGAGATGTACACGGGCTTCAGAGGAAGGTGAAGTGCGCACAGCTGCCTTTCCTTTAACCTCTTTGATCCCGTCAAGCATCTTTAAATATTTTTATATGAACAACGATACGAGTGGTTTATATCTAATCTAAACATCTGGTTAGCTGTTGTGCAAATATAGCCTTCAGATGGGTACCTGTCAGGCTCTTTAATCACTATTTAAATTAGATAATCGCCATGCCACAGCCACATCAAACGAGGAAAAGAAACGGAAAACGTGCCTGCAGTAGCACGCGCTGTACCTGGAAGAGACCTCTCTACCCACTGAAATTTGCTTCGTCTAGAAATGCTCTGTTTCATGACAAGTATAGGAAAGTCCAATTAATAAGAGTTAAACACGTGAGGACAGCAACTAATACTCCGTTTCTTATTTAAGAACCTACCAAACGTCTACAGCCTGAACAGTCTGGTATCCTGCTGGGTTTCATCTTTTCTCCAGATTCAACCACATTTCCAGACAATTTGAATGCCGCCACCAGTACTGTGGAGTTTCCGATGAAATAACAAAATTCTCGTCACGGCTTGGCATCCTAGCGTCTATTTCCAGACCACATCACCGAAGAATCTGAGAGCGGGGGCGCCTCTGACCTCCACATCAAGAAGCGGCGCTTGGATTAGCTCTAGGCCGCCGAGCTCACGGTCATTGCTTATCATATTCAGGGCACGTGCTTCTTCCTGAAACCGTCAAGTTCTAATTAATTCGGGATGAGGGACGTAGCACTGCTAAGTTACGATTATGCGATTGGAAGCTCCTTTACAAATTGAATCATAGGAACTTGCCAGAATGGTACCTTGCGTTTTGTAGAACAAAATCTGCACTCAGATGTAGAGGGGGGCAATACTTGATTTACGACAAGCCTTGTTGCTGGCGCACCATCCTTCTTCAAAGATGCATGAAACCTTGATGACTCGGTAATAGCCATCACCTGAGAAAGCGAGCACCCACAAGCATGATCAAATAGATGCAGCTACCATGCATGTGCTTTACGCGTTTCAATATTTGCCGACACATTTTTGCATCAAATAAATGTTGCCACTATTGCAATAATGGTTGGGCATTTACCGTAGGAATCGTCACAATGATAAATTCAGTTGATTGTGGATCTTGCATAAGCTCATGTACTCTGGCAATCTGCTTTCTTAGCACCTCTATCCTGGCAGGCTTTATACAATAGAAAGATGATCAGTCTGTAATACATGCTACAAACATAACTATCCAACTGAAACAGGAAATTAGTATGCACTTACATCTATTTGGTCTTTCCCGAAAGCTGATTTAAGAGCTGGGAAGGACGACGCTAAATTCACAGCCTGAAAAGTCCGTGGAGTTACATGTGTTATACTTACTTGCACATTCGCATAAACACAAGACTGGTTTCAGGGTCCCAGCAAAGCATAATTCAGGAAAGTTTCCAAATGAGTTTCAACAGCTGGTACAAAAATCTGTGCTTCCTACATCACTGTGCATGCACACTGTATTTATAGCGTTTATTTTCTTTAAATAGTTGAATTCAATACCAACATGTAGTCAAAAGACAGTCAAAAGGCCTTCTGACCTGTAGCATGCACCACCTAGTATCTCATATGAATACTCATTTGGGCATTTCAGCAACATAAATAAATTAACTAAAGATATTTCTAAGTAATATTACCTAAGAGAAAAGAGCATGGAGGGTTTCGAAACAGGAAACAAACCAGCACAAAAGTATTTGGCCTTATAATGGGTATTCTAATTGTCCAAGAAGAAAAAAGGCAAGTTGAACCTAACAAAACGGTTTGTTTGGCTTCCTTTTCTCTTTCTAACGTTAAAATTCGTTACAATAAGTCCATAGCCCAGTTTAATGCTTACACCGCATGGAAAAAATCTTACTTTGATGCAGTTTGTAGCTTTAGCCCATATTAAAAACAACTCCCAGGAAATCTTAAAGGACCACTATGGTTGCATGGCATGGGTGCAAAGTTTGGTCTCACATGGAGGGAAGTTGATATCAACATACAAGGGACTCTCGCCCTCTCACTCCTCCTAAGAGCTTGGGAAGAGGACAGATAAACGCCGCTCCTCCACCGTTTGCCTCGCACATGTTTCATGAAAGAGCCAAGCCAAGCTCAGACATATGTCGAGTGTGCGTTTTATATTTGCCGGTTGGAATAGATAATTAATTAATTAATAATAATTACGATTCATTAATGAACGTGTTAATAACAAACATTTCCAACTTGTTCAGATGTGGTTTGTTACCGACTCGGATCGTGGGTTTATTCAAAGTCTTACTCGACCGACTATATAAAGATAAATTCAGCAACCTTTGTCGTCACCCATCAGATCGTATCTGCTACCTCGCACTCGCACCACCATTCCTCTCACTGTGTCGCTCTTGGCTTCCCCATCCCGGCGACCACGTGCACGAGATAGTAGGGCTCCAGAACCATGCCCTTAGCGAACCATCACCCGGTGAAGGGCGATTAGGTTTTTGGGGGACGTCTTTCGCGACTGCTCGTCTTTGTTCGACTACTTCCACAACCGTGGCAACTTCCACGACTTCCGACTTTACCGATCTTGCTATGGCTGACACCGGCAAGACTGCCACCAAAGCAGCCGTTCCAACCAGATCGTACATCCCGTTCACCTTGTTCATGTGAATTTCATAGATATACAAGTTATGTGTTTCATATGTACTCGCATGACTAGTTTAGAGTATGTGATTAATATTGCTAGCATTCTTCTCATGATATTAATCTTGATTAAAGTAATTCAAAAATTGCTCATTATTCCAACAATCCAAAAAACAAATTTGTTTACGCAATTTTTGATTCAAGGCTTTGCTACTGCTCTGAAACCGAATCCATATAAGGGTGTGCACTTTAAGCGTTGGCAAACAAAACCATCTTGAGACTAATCACTATTTACGTGTACCCAGAGAACACGAGGCAAAAGATACACACACCAAGAGGGCCGACAGACAGTCTAGAGCCTGTGCTGCAAAAGACTTCTCACATGTTCAAGGGAAAGAATGTGGTTGTACAAACTGCGCTCGGAACAGTGAGCCACAAGATGGTTCTCATTTGCCAAAGCTTAAAGCGAACACCCGTAAACGGGTTCTGTTTCAGAGCAGCAACAAAGCCTTGAATTGAAAATTGCCTAAACAAATAAGGTTTTAGGATTGTTGAAATAAGTAGGAAATTTATAATTAATTCAATCCAGATTAATACCATGACAATCATGCTAGCAATATTAATCACACTCTAAACTAGGCGTGCGAGTTACGTACGAAACATAGAACTCGCATATCTATAAAATTCGCATAAATAGCATTCACATGAACGAAGAGGTGAAAAGATATACAATCTAGTCAAGCAGTGGCAGTCATGCTTGTGTCGGCCATGGCGAGATCCGCAATGTCAAAGTCAGTGGAAGTCGTCTTGGTCACGGAAGTAGTCAAACGAAGGTGAGCAGTCGTAAAGACACACTCACCCAAAAACTTATCACCCTTCACCAGATGCAGGTTCGTGAAGGCGCATTTCCAGAGCCCTGCTCTACCATGCAGCCAAGATGAGCGAGAGGAACAGTGAAAGTGGTGCGAGCGGGCAGATGATAGATGCACTCTGATGGGTGACGGTTAGGGTTGCCGAACTACTCTCTTTATAGTCAGTGGGGTAAGACGATGGGATAAACCCACATCCGAGTCAGTAACAGCCCACCATCAAACAAACCGGAGGCTGTTACTAACGCATCTAGTAATGACTCGTAACTAATAATAAATAATTAGCAACTCTAACCAGCAAGCTAAAAAACAAATACTTAGCATGGGTCTAAGCCCGGCTCGACGAAACACTATGTGAGCGTGTGTTCCATGGCATGACGAGGCGGGCGGCAGCAGCAGAGGAGGAGAGTGCGTGTATCGGTCTTCTTCTCAAGCTAATAGCAGGAGTGAGAGAGAGTCCCTTATATGTTGGTCTCAACTCCCCTCCACTATCCATTTGGAACTAAACTTTGCACCTATGCCATGCAACAAGTAGGCCTTTGGATTTTTTACGGAATTATTTTCTTATATGAGCGGAAGCCCCCGAACCCTAACAGTTTGTCCCTGCCGCTGTTCCTTAATAATTACTACTTCGATCACCATTATGTAAATATCGCAAGAAAAAGAAAACATGCGCAAACACATACTCTATCAAGCGAAATTCATGTAACCAGTATAAAGCTATATGAGGCAAGGTTAGTGGTTGCGGCAAAGCTCACCTTATTGGCCATACCAAGGAGCTTCTCCATTAAAGTTGTAGCGGATAAAAGGTTTAGTGTATGCCCCTGTGCAGTATATAAGTATAATAACCCAATTAGAAGTGAAAGAAGCAGAAATAGAATAGACTTGGGTTCAAGGCAAAGTGAAGTGTGCATACAGTTGCCGCGGTATCCAAAACTATGCGCCTAAATTTATTGCTCTCTTGCAGTTCGACGATTTGCATCAGCTGCAAGGATACGCTTCAGGTGATGACTGAACTTTACAAAGTGTGTAACGAATAATAAATCCCCACCAGACTGTAAACTTTGATTGATACCTTCGAAATTGCAACGGCTTCTCCAAATCCAGGAGTTTTCATCAGCATTTCATGCAGCTTATTCTTTCCCAGCTTTAAAGGCCAGACATCATGGGCATAAGTAAGGTTAACTAGTAAGATATTAAAACAAAAGAATGTCTCTGCTCGAAGAAATAGCAAACAAAAGATAAATTTATGGTACTCTGTCTGATCAGACAATGTTGAATAAAAAGTGCATGTGAAATAATTGGCCAACTGACCAGTGTTGCAAATATGATGCAGCTGTGCTACATAATAAGGTATATAAGCATATGAAACCAACAACTCATGTCCAAAGTCCAAACTCAAGACACATCATTATCTGGGTGTGTTGCGAATGAAGAAAACGGCAGTGCAAGAACAAGCATACATGTAGCCTATGGCGTATACGATTTAAGCATCAATGTAGATGCAAATAAAGAGAAACTTTACCATGACACTGGAAATCAACTAAAATGCAAGATGGAGAAGCAAAAAAAAAAAAGATTTCTGAGGTGGTGTTTACCGGATCAGCAAGGACTCCAAGCCCTATCTTGTCCAGTATATTACGCATAAAAGATCCACTATTAGAAGATTCCTCCTTTGTATTAACATGGCCAATCTGTAAAGAAACAAGTTCCATCCATCATCAAAGCAACAAGCATGACCAGAATTGGATCCTCTACATGACTTCATTAAGTGTACAAGCATGGCAGAACCCAGTTTCAACTACAAAATTGAAAAGATCAACCTCTCCTTACATTCACTATCTCCAGGATTATAAAAAGTGTTTGTTTTATGATTGGACAGCTGATGGTGGCCATGCACACTGAACAGATAAAAGTGCAAGATGGAACGGGATATTGCAAACCATTCCAGTGCAACTGCTCCTACCTCGGCAGCAAAAAGAGAGTCGACTCCATTGACAGGTACAATATTACCGCCACTCAGGTCCTATAAACAACGAATGCAAGATATTCAAAAGAGGGGCTAAAGAATTAATCCCACTAGCATTGCATAACAATACAAGAGCTCAGATACTTGTTCAAATGTATCACCCAGTGAATGTGCTGGGTGCATAGAAACTATGAGCGTCGGTTCACCATGGTTGGCAAACTTCATAGCAAGTGATGCTGCCATGCTTGTTGTCCCAACACCACCTTTGCCTCCAAGCACGTAGTACCTCTTTGTGTCGGCAACCATCTCCCCAAATCCGCCATTAACCTCCACCAGACTGGAATTGTATCTTGCTGTTCAAAAATTCAGAAACAGCACTATTAGCGTGTCCCATGTGCTTCAGAGCAGCGGTCTGGTTTTAAGTTATCAAATCTGGAATTCAGTAGAGAAGTCACAACCGATCATGGCTCGTAAGACAGGTATGATGCAGATTCCATGCATTGTCCAAACTCGTACAACACAACGCAGCATTATCCCACAAGGAGAAATTGATTGGCATACAGATTACAGAATCTGATATCCATAACATGACAGCAACCAAATAGACCAAGAACTACAACTAGCAGCGAGTAAATATGCATACATTTGATTCTTGTTACATGAAAGGTGGGAGAGGGGTGGGGTGAGGGGGGGGGGGCGGCTTGGACAGGGTGGGGCAAACCTTGGGTGCTCCAGTGAGCCACGAAGGGCTCCACCGCCGGCGGCGTAGAGAGACGGCGGCAGGCAGCGAGGGTGAGGCGCCGAGCCGTAGGGTTCAGGAGAGCGGCCATTTGGGCTATAGGGCTCTTGGGTTGGCCGGGCTGGGTTCAGGTCTTTACGAATTAGGAATCTTTCTGTCAGAAAAAAAGCCAAATCGGGAATCTGAAGAAAGCTCGCAGCTATGCAATTATGAATAAATATTTAGCAATTTTGAAACTTATTTAACAAATAAGTCAAGATGGCCGAGTTGGTCTAAGGCGCCAGTTTCAGGTACTGGTCCGAAAGGGCGTGGGTTCAAATCCCACTCTTGACATTTTCTTTTTCTTTTTTAGTGTCATATATAAAATATAAGGATGTTTCTTTTTATTTTGAGAGCTTTATTTAGTAAAAGTCATTCGGTCAAAACAGTGAGTCAGAAGACTGCACATCAAACAGCTAGGAGTTTTTCTTTTTTAGTGCCATATAAAATATAAAGATGTTTCTTTTTTCAGCTGAATTTTGAGAACTTTATTTAGTAAAAGGCATTCAATCAAAACAGTGACATTTTCTTTTTCTTTTTTAGTGCCATATATAAAATATAAGGATGTTTCTTTTTATTTTGAGAGCTTTATTTAGTAAAAGGCATTCGGTCAAAACAGTGAGTCAGAAGACTGCACATCAAACAGCTAGGAGTTTTTCTTTTTTAGTGCCATATAAAATATAAAGATGTTTCTTTTTTCAGCTGAATTTTGAGAGCTTTATTAGTAAAAGGCATTTGATCAAAACAGTGAGTCAGAAGACTGCACATCAAACATCTAGGAGTTTTTCTTTTTTAGTGCCATATAAAATATAAAGATGTTTCTTTTTTCAGCTGAATTTTGAGAGCTTTATTTAGTAAAAGGCATTCGATCAAAACAGTGAGTCAGAAGACTGCACATCAAACATCTAGGAGTGTTATCAATCCAACTTTCGGTCACAACAAGCATTATAAGCAACCCAATAACACATGATTTCTTTTTAACCATGGGTGACTTCACTACTCGCTTTTATGGGGGGCATATAGCCCATGCTGCTATATAGCTAACCTATAAGTTTAACTGAGACTTGATTTTATGTATAATTTTAGAACCCGTTTGTTGCTTCAAATACCCTCATATAATGATCCATGTAGCCATTTTTCATGTCCATTATGCATGATTCTTGGTTTCCGAGCATTTTATTGTGGTCATTGCACAACCATTAAGTTTTATTAGTTTTTCTTGGTTTCATTGCTGGTATAGGTGCATTAAAACTTCCATGGACTTAACACGCTGAAAGGAATCAAGTTGGGACCGATCCGAAGAAGTTACAAGCACTGCATCCAGACCCTTTGACGGATTCGACAAAATGTGTTTTTCCAATAAGCCCAAATTAAAGATCCAACATCATGAGATGGCTCGTCCATACGAATCCAATAAGTCCAAGAACACCAAAAATGGAGTTTGTATGAGAACATGGACAAAAATACAAAACACCATGCATAGGTTCCACAAGAGAAGACGGTTTGCAGTATGACCGCACATGGTCATGCCGCCCGATCTTGGTTGCGGATTTGGTTGTAGCTTCCACAATTCTTTACCGATTTTGTCTCCATTTGTTCCTGCACGATCCGTGGACATCAAGCAATGTATCGGGAGAGGTTGAGATTCATACAGAGCCCTTGGATCAATGGATAGAAAGTGGATCCATAGAGAAGACCCCGTGGAGGCTGGCTATATATACAACAAAAACCCTAGTTGTTGCCCCAATAATCCACAACTGGGCCACATGCCCCTACACCCCAACTAGTTGTTTGGTTATAACCTAGCAATCATCATGTGTAAGGAGATCCATAGAACCAACATAGCTGATCGGATGGTTAATCATCAACAACATTTTTCGTCTAGTCTTTCTTATCTAGTTGTGTGCTATCGGAGCCTCGTCTTTATACTTTCGTACTTGTTTCATTGTTTTTCGGTTTGGCTTGTAAAAGTATGTTCCGTTGTTATTTTCATTCTTAGGCTTTATTAGTTCAAAGCCAGACTTTTCTTTGGCCTTTCTCCACGGGGCTCACGTTTCTATAGTACTGCAATATTAATTTGTTAGAAGCGCAATCATGCCACTTATCATGAAAAGATGACTTCTTGATATAGGAACAGTCGTCGTCGTCATGGGTACTTTTGGTCTCCTTGCCTCCTGCTACCATCTTGGCGCCGAGAGGTGGAGGGCCTCCGATCTTTAAGGTTTTGTGGCATCTATTGGTGATCTATATTTGTATGAATAAAGTTACTCTTGTTTTATTTTGCGGTGCCACAAAACTAAAGAGGTTTGTGTCCTCAATGATCTTAGTAATCAGATCTAATGAATTTATGTTATTGCTTTAAGTTGTTTTTGTTGGTTTGATTTTTTTGTGAAGTTAAAATCTTTCCTTGACATCATGTAAAGATATTATGATTCGACGACCTGGACTTCTAGGATATCATCACTGGCTCAAAGTACGCACATGGCTCAAGTCTTGCATCTTTTTGGATAGGTAACTCAGGGGGTTTTCAAAAAACTTTATTGGTAACTAAGTTTGTGCGGGTGAAAGAGTGGCAACACTGTTGCTCCAGTCTAATTTTTGTTTCTTTACTAAAGTCTTGAGAATATTTCGTCCTCCAAAAATTAATACCAAAGAGAAGATGTTTTCAACAGATACCACTGTGATTCTTAACACATGACTCACTTTGCATTATTTTTCTAATCTTAAAATCCAAAGCAGTGTACGTATAATAGAGAAGATTGTTGCTCCAGTCTATTTTTCTTAATCTTAATCTAAAAAAAAATCTGTTACAGGGGTAAAATTGTCAAAGATCTCCTCACCCACCTCGCCTGCGACTGCTAGCGACGACTGCCACGGCGCAGAAGCGTCGGATCCGGCGCTAACACCCCATCACCAATGCGGCCGCCGCGCGCGCTTCCGCTGCCGCACTTCACTCTCCCGCCGCTTGCCGGCGAGGACCTCGCCTTCGTCACCGCCCTCCGCTCCCACCTCTCCTCCTCCCCGGAGCTCGCGCCCTCCTCCCTGTCCCGCTTCCTACCCCAACTCAACCCCCTCCGCCTCTCACACCTCCTCCTCTCCCCGCCCCGGGTGGCTCACGACCTCCTCGGCTCCCTCCTCTCCTCGCCGCCGCCCCCGCTCCCATTCGCCCTCCTCCTCCACGCCATCACCCCGCGCCGCTCCTCCGAGCTCCTCGCCTCACTGCTCCCCTCCGTCTCGCACCACGCCTTCCCGGAGCTCCTCCACCACCTCATCTTAACCGCTCGCCTCGCCGCCGGGAGCCGCGGCACCGGCGCCGCAGTGCCCGCCGTCGACGTTCTCTTCTCTGCTTGCGCGCGCCGAAACAAGCTCTCTCAGGCCACGCTCACCTTCCGCGCCATGCGTGCGCATGGCCTGCTCCCGCGGGTCGAGTCCTGCAACGTCTTCATCTCCGCGGCGCTCCGCCTGAAGCGCCCCGAGATCGCCGTGTCCTTCTTCCGGGAGATGCGCCGGTGCTGTATCTCGCCCAACATGTACACGGCCAACATGGTGTTGCGGGCCTTCTGTGCCTTGGGGCGGGTCGCCGACGCGGCCACGGTGCTCGATGAAATGGCGGATTGGGGGGTTGATAGGACGGTGGTCAGCTTCAACACGCTGATCGCTGCTTATTGCAGGGAGCATGGTGGTCTGGAACATGCGCTGGAGCTGAAGAAGAAGATGGAGCTGGAGGGGCTAGCGCCCAGTGAGGTGACCTATAACACGATCCTCCATGTGCTGTGCAAGGAGGGGAGGATGCAGCAAGCGAATCGTTTGTTGAGCGAAATGAAGGTGAAGAGGGTTGTGCCGAACACAGTGACATACAATACTTTGATTTATGGGTATGTCATGCATGGTGATAATGGAACAGCGCGGAGGGTTCATGAAGGGATGGTTAAGAATGGAGTCGAGCTTGATATCATAACTTACAATGCGCTCATTCTTGGTCTTTGCCGGGATGGGAAGATAAAAAAAGCCGTGCATTTGTTTCAGCAGCTTGACAGGTCCAAGCTTGAACCGAATGCTTCAACTTTCTCAGCGTTGATTCTTGGATACTGTATGACGCAGAATTCAGAGCGAGCACTGCAACTGTTGAAGGTGATGAAAAAATCCGGCTTCCATCCGAATTACGACACATATAAGATTGTTATATCTGCTTTCTGCAAGAATAAGGATTTTGAAGGAGCAGTGGATGTGATGAAGGAGCTTCTCGAGATGTGCATGGCTCCTGACAAGGTCTTATTGCATGAATTCTTTGAAGCTCTCTCAAAGGCTAAAAAGCTCCACCTAGCAGAAGATCTGTGGTCAGCTGATAAAGGTGGAAAGTTTATTCCATCTATCTACTATACTGGTGATTACAGGAACAACGGCGAAGAGAAAACTGCATGTTAACACGCAGTGACCTCAATGGAGCCTCATTAGAATGTATGATTGGTTTGTCTGGAGAACAATAGAACTTAAATCCTTCTGCTTGTACAAATGTGGAATTTGTGTTGGCACATGCCTATGAGCGGATCTGTTTGGTTAAATGAAGACAACCTGACAATTATTCTTGCCTGTAGGTAGCTGAATTGCTTAGTCCTGAGAGATGACTGTAGCAAATGGAGTACTACGTGTGTACACAAAGATGTCAACCGAGAATTTTTGATAATCAGATGCTTATGGAGTTACAGGCTTGCACTTTTCTTGCAACAACTTGTGTTATTCCATTGACAGAGTATCAGATGAAATTCCACTAGTGAAAAATCGAATTGATTTGTGCCGGTTCTAGCACCAGCACCATATCAGATAATGCTCACTTCAAACATCTTCTTGAAACCATCTAAAAGGCCATATGCTCGGATTTTCAAATTCAAATCCAGTTTGTATTGGAGGAAAATTTCTGCAGGCAAAGCAGTTGGCACTGACATCCCCATTTTCTTCAGATTTTGAACATAACTTATAAGACGTCGTGGTTCTCCTCTTTTATATGCCTCTCCACACAATTTTCTTTGAATATGTATTTTGTAAGAGATGTTT